CACACACACACACACACACACACACACACACACACACACACACACGCACACACACACATTGTTAAAAAGAACACTATGAACAACTGGATTTCGCTGACCAGGCCGAGTCCCACGATGCCGTGGGGATTATCTCTCCCTAGTCTTTCGGTTCCTCCGTTTGTTCATCTTTTTCAAAACCTTCTGACTCTTCTGACCCCCTGGGCAAGGTCTTTGCCAATGCCAAGATGTTGGGGTTGTTGCCATTTGACGCTGTATTTTACAACCTGGTGGGGCAGGTCTCCCTCCACTACTCTCTGCTTCTTCCCCTGGACTGGCCTTGGGAATTCTTGCCAGACCCCGTCAGCTGGATGAGGCTGTCTCCTCCTGGCCCCCGCAATACAGTCTTGGAAGCCCTACGGAGCAGGTCTACTCTGCCCTAGGGGGTCCCTATTAGTCCCTATCAGGCTTGATGGCAGCGAGGCCGCTTTTCTTAGGGTTATTTCAAACATTTCAATGGTTTTATTGCCATATAATTCACATATCATACAATTCAAAAGTGTACGCATCAAAACAGTGTGCAGTCACTACCACAATCAATGTTAGAACGTTTTCTTCATTCTTGTACTCATTATTTTTAGCTCCCCGTCTCCCCCCTATCTCCCCCCCAGACCCTTAAGAAACTATTAACCCAGTGATTACCTCTATTGATTGGCCTATCTTGGATTTCATCTGCAGAAAAACATACCCAAAAGCACAGAATCCAAATACCAACAGTAAAATAAAACAGAGGAAAAGCTCAACCGAAAAGAAAGCAGAATATATTGATAACTAGAACAAAGTTTAAAGTGCGTCCAAACAGAGACCGAATGACAAGGTGTTAAGTTTTACCTAACTACATCTGCAGTGACCCACTTTCCACTGTTCTCTGATAACAAGGCGATTCACATCCCTGGTCAGTGGTCAGAGGGGATTCACGGGAGGCTTAATCCACATGGGGAACCCAGCAAATAGAGTTTGGGGTTTCACTGTCATCCACAGCCTTCTGCTAACTGGGTCCTCAGAATTTAAGCTCTAATACAGCTCCCTCCTCCGAGCTTGGGTTTTATTATTTGCAATCCTTGGATCACACAGACCTTGGATCACCATGTGGACTGCATGCTTTAAGACAAGCTGTGAAGACCGCAGGTGTAGTTCTTTATGAGAGCCGGGCACTGTCTGCTTTCTTGACCACCCTTTGCTAGAGTGCAGTTACTCGTTTTGTATGCGGAGCATATCCTACGTTTTACCTTCAACAATTTACACACATCTTGGTTCAGCTCGCCCACCACCTGTCCCACTTCCCCCTGTGTTTCCTGTGTCCGTTCCTCCTCGATTCCTGACCCTGTGTCCCTGAGTAAATGCTGACCCATAGATCTTAAGTGGCCAGTGATCTTGTTTGTATAAACCTTAAGGTCATTGTGCCCCTTGACAACGGCTGCTATAGCATCCCCCTGGGGTGTACCCCGCCCCCACCCCACTGCCACTTTGGTTGGTGGTGTACCTGGGGGCACCCAGACCTCCTCCTGCAGCCCCTTGGCCCACACCTGCAGGTCAAGCACGGGCAGCTGCTGAAGCAGCAGGAGAAGATGATCCGAGACATGGAGATGGCGGTGGCCCACAGGGACACAATCACCACCCGGGCCGAGGGCCAGAGCAAGATGGACAAGAAGGCCTTCACCCGCACCGACTTCCACCACAAGGAGCTGGAGCTGAGGCGGAAAATCAGGGACACTCACAAGGTGCGGGCAGGTTGAGTGGAGAATGTCCCTGAAAAGCATGTTTGCCTTCCCCTGCCACCCCGAGGGCATCCCTGGCCAACCTCCCTGCTCCCGCTCCGTGCCGCCCTGCAAGTCCTGCTGCGTCTTTCCTGAGCGTATTACACCTCTCAAGGGCCACCCAGCCATTCCCCTGGTTGACAAATATCGCCTCCAGGTGTCCTGGTCACCCTGGAGCAGCAGCGGTCAGCACTTGCCGGGCCCTGACTACGCCATGACATTCCTCGGGGACCCACCTCTCTGGGGGACCCAGCCCTGGTGGGCAGGGAACACGACTCTTCCCCAGACCCCACCCCGCAGGGTCTGTTCCAGGATTGGTACCAAAGGCCCAGCAGTGATGACAGGCCTGGATACTGTCCTTTCTCCACCCCCCTCCCCACGCCATGCCACCCCCTTCCCACTGCCAGGCCACCGAGGAGAGCGAACAGACCATACAGGAGCTGGAAGTAATGCAAAAGACGGCGAGCGACTCCCTGATGGAGAAGCAGGAGCAACTGTCGGCCACGCAGTCCGAGTCAGACCTTCTGGATGCAGACCTGGAGCGCCTGGTGGCCCTCAAGCGGCAGGTACGCATGTCCCCCAGCGCCACTGCCCTCTTCCCAGGCGTGGCCACCGAGCTCCCCGCAGCCGCTCCCCAGCCTCTCACACCAGCCCAGGCCGGCCGGGGCACCCGCTGCAGAGAGAGGGAAGAAAGGAGATACTGAGTCAGGCCGGGTCAGTGTTCAGCAGGAAAGCAGCAGGGCGAGGAGCGCAGGGGGGAGCAGAGGCCACCCTCCCTCTGTTGTGGAGAATCCACAGGGATGGCATGCCACCCAGTGAAGTGACACTGCCACCGTCCTCCCCCTCCACCCCTTAGAACCAGCTCGCCAGCCCCTAGGCCCCCGAGCTTATCTGCCAGGCTGTCGGTTTCAGATGGACAGGCGGTGGGGAGAGAGCACGGGGCCCAGGTGGCTTGCTGTGTTTGAAGGAGGGGCTTCAAGGGGATATGTGGGGGGAAGTTTCCAGATGTTCTCAGGGTGATCCCCTCAGTGGGTCACCCAGCCTCCCTGGATCCAGAAAGTCTGGATTCCATGGGCTTTGGAAACTGTGCTGCATTGGGGAGTCGGGGTGGGGGGGAGGCTTTTCACTTGTGAGTGGGTACCTGAGAGGCCTCAGAGAGACAGGACAGCTGGATGGAGACCCCTTCCTGGCAGAGACTGGATCTCCAGACAGCGTGGGGAGGGGCAGGGTGGAGTGCAGTGGGGAAGGGAGTGCCCGGGGACCTGCTGAGACCGTGGGGGAGTGGGGCCTCTTGGGGGCTATGCCAGTGCCCGTGGCTGTCCTTCTGAGTGAGAAAGCAGACAGAGGAGGGCCCAAGGCCGAGGCATGACGGGTGCCACAGGGCCGTGGGGCCCCATGTGGGAAGGAGACACGGGAGCGGGCACAGGGTCTTTGGGGAGTCGCCATGGCGATTAACGGGATGGCAGCTTGCAGCCAGGTGGTGCCTGGCAGACGGCTGGAGGCAGTGTGGGTGGAAGACGGGGTCTGGTGGGAGCTTGAAGAGAGATGGTGGGCCCCGAGATGAGGCGGTGAGGCCCCGGGGCCAGGATGTCGTGAGCTGGTGCCTGTGGGTCCTTACTGCATCCCTAGACATGGGGGGAGGTTTCTCTCTGGTCCTTTCTCTGGTCTGGGTCTGTGTGCAGGAGTCCCTGGGGGACAAAGGGTTAACACACACACTGGCTGCTAACAGAAAGGTTGATTGATGGTTCCAGTCCCCCCAGAGGCACGCAGAGCAAAGGCCTGGCCATCCACTTCCCAACACACAGCCTCTCTGATGGTATTGGCGTGGTCCTGAGTGGAAGTAGACGCTGGGGCAAGGGGTGTAGCCTTGGTGCTTGGGTGGGGTTCGCGCTGGGGACAGTGGGCGCTCTCCAATTGGCTCGCCCTGATCCAGCGTCAACGCCCCGCCCCATCTCACCCAGAACCTCTCAGACATCGTCACCTTGCAGACGCGCTTGAAGCACCTCCAGGCGCTGAAGGAAGGCAAGTACGTGCCCCTGTTTCGCACGGAGCAGTCCCTGCAGGTCGAGAGCCAGCGGCTGGCGAACAGGCTGGCCACCATGAGCAGTGCCCTGGACCACGTGAAGGACGAGTACCCCCAGTTCCAGGAGGCGCTGCACAAGCTCAGGCAGACCATCGCTGCCAAGCTGGAGGCCCCCGGGGCCCCCTAAGGAGGCCACCAGCTTCCTCGTCCCGCCCCCCAGCCTCCAAGGGGCAGGCCATGTGGGCCAGACCATTGCTTCATCTTTTTGTGTGGCTGGAAGCCACGGCACCGTGGGGGTTCCTTTTCTGTTGTTTTGTTAAAAGCCACCTGGCAGTTTTGATGGAGTCAACCCCCCAAGTTTCAGTTGTGTTTCCGGCGTCTGTGCCTTCTACAGGGCCTGGGCTGGAAAACCCATGGGCCCCCATGGGCCCTACTGGTGGGTGGAGTGTGCTGTGATCACAGTGGGTGCTGGCTCAGACTCTAGGGGCAAGGAAACACAAATGGACACACACACACACACATACACACACACACACCAGACAGGGAATGACTGGGCATGGGACTGGTGGATTCAAACCGCTGACCTTGCAGTTAGCAGCCCAATGCATAGGGCACTCAGCCGCCAGGGCAGCTACAAGGTCACAGCCACCTCCTTTCCCACAGTCTCCCCAGTACTCAAGACCCCGGTCCCTCTTCCTCTGGGGACGTGAGTTCAGTGTGGGCTCACAAGCTTGCAGAAGAAGGTCAAAGGTCTCGGGGCATATGGGCCATCCTCCCGGGGCAAGGTCCAGAGAAGCGGGACCTTGGTGCCCCACGGTCTGTCTGCTCGTTTCTTTATCGTTATTCGCCTGCTGAAAGGACAAACTCGTGAAAGAGGTTCAGCCAGGATGCTCCTTAGAGGCAAAGATGGCAAGACTTTGTCTCACGTACTTTGGACACGTTGTCATTGTCAGGATCTCTCCTAGTCTTTGGGAAAGGACATCATACTTGGGGCAGTGACAAAGAGGAAGGCCCTGGATGAGATGGATGGACCCAGTGGCTGGAACCATTTGTGAGGATGGCGCAGGACCGGGCAGTGTGACACTCTACGTTGTGCATTGAGCCCCTATGGATCGGAGCGAACTCAACGGCACCCACCCGCTAACTGGCTACAATTTCCGAGTGTCCATGTGGCTTCTTGGCAGTTACATCCTGTTGTAGGAAATAATTTCCCTGTAAAAATGTCCAGCAGAAAATTCAAATTTCAAAAATATTTTCTTCTAAAAAACGAGAGTGGCAATGTTGCTAGCTGCCATCCGGTTGGGTGAGGCGACCCCGTGTGCAACAGAGCCCTGCTGGGTCCTCAGGCTGGAGTCCCAGCCTCACCTTGGCATGCCCAAGTCCATTATTAAAGCCGGCCCTGGCGGTGTCATGGGCTAGGCTTTGGGCTGCTAACCACAAGGCCAGCAGTCGGAAACCACCAGCCATGAGCAATGAGGCTTTCTCCTGCTGGAAAGAGTTGGTCTTGGAAACTTCAGGGGCCGTTCGGTCCTGTCCTGTAGGGTCCCTATGCGTCCGTATCGAATCAACGGCAGTGACTTTGATTTTTTCTTTTGTCCAACGTGGGGGGCCTCCCTTCCAGCCCTGCATCGGACAATGTTCGGTTGTGATCGGGATGGCTGTCACTGGCTAGGCCTTTCTTCCTGTCTGTCTGAGTTGAGAAGCTCCACGGAAACCTGTCTCCCATGGGTGCTGGTACTGAATTTGAAATACCGGTGGCACCGGTGCCACCATCAGCGTGACACTCAAGCCAGCACAGCGCAGACACGGACAACCCTGAACTCCCTCACCCACCTAAGGAAGACAGCTACCTCCATGTTTGGGGGATCCCCGCCCAGATCCCCTTCCTATGCCTGCGTTTCAGCTTTCACATTCCACCTTGACGCAAGGGGAAGGCTTTTCTGGTTTTAGGACCGATCTCCCGTGGTTCTGCCGAAGTGCTCCGCCTGGGCCACTGAGGTGTTCTTAACGCCGTGCCTGCCACCCCCACCGCCACCGCCACCGCCACCGCGGGCCCTTAGGAACGCACGCAGACAGACACCTTTCTATCTCGAGCCCTTTGCCTATTTCGTGATCTTTGACTTTGACTTCTAGAGCTGCCCTTTGAAATGTGCTGCTCTTCGACGTCATCATCTCTTCCATGAGCCTTAGCTACTGTCTGATGACGAGCAAGTTTCAGAGTCTCTTCTGACCTCCATGTTGATCTTTTCTTTCTTTCCTGTCTTCTTGGTGACCGTGTGTTCTCTTCACGCATGATCGTCTTGACGTCCTCCCACAGGTCCCCTGTCATTGGAGTTTAATGCATCCAGTCTGTTCCTGAGATGTTCTCCAAACTCAGGGGGCGGAGACTCCAGGTCGTATTTGGACTCTTGTGGACTTGTTTTCACTTTCTTCTGCTTCAACCTGAACTGACATGCGAGCAATGGACGGGCTCCTCCACAGTGGGCCCCGGCCTGGGTGCAGCCGCTGCGATTAGGCTTCTCTATCGTGTCTTCCCACAGACGCAGTCCGTTTGATTTCTGTGGATTCCACTTAGAGACGTCCACGTAGGTAGTCACCTTTTGTGTTGCTGAGAGATTTGCAATGAAGCAGCGCTAGGTCTTGCAAATGTCTATCATGTGATCTCCCTCTTCATTTATATCACCAAGACCATTTTCCACCTACTGTTCCCTTCCTTCCCTTTGTTTCCAACGTTTGCATTCCATTCACCAATAATCAATGTATCTTGATTGCGTGTCTGATCAATTTCAGACTAACGATAAAGTAGTTCGAATTCTTCAATTTCTGCATCACTAGCGTTCACGGTTGGTGCACAAATTTGGATCTTGGTTGTGTGGACTGTGTGCAGAAAGGCCCTATCCTGTCATAGACTGCATTGTACTTTGAGATTGATCTTCAAGTGTCCTCTGGATTGTGCCATCCCTAGCTTAGTAAGCCATATGATTTTCTGATTCAGATGGTCCACACCAGCCCAGTTCAGCTCGCTGAGGCCTAGGATACAGATCGTTACGGGTTCCATTTCACGTTTAATGACTTGCAATTTTCCTAGACCCATACTTTCTACCTTCCAAGTCCCAACTATTCATTGATGTTTGCAGCTGTTTCCTGGCACTCTGAGTCGGGCCCCCTCCGCACAGGAAGGCCTCCAGGCCTTACTCCGACCACATTGTCACAGCCATGGCTTTGAGAAGGCAGCCCTTCCTCTGTCACATTCTGAGTGCCTTCTGATCTGAGGGCCACCTTCAGGCCCATTCATGGGCTTTTCAGTAGCTGGCAATGTCTCCATGCTTTCCATAGGGTTCTCAGTGGCTAGTTCCTCCGAAGCGGACAGCCTAGGCCTTCGTAGTCTGGAAGCTCATCTCAGATACGCGTGACATAGCCTTCTGCAACACACAAGCCAGCACAGTGGGACAGACCGACAGACAAGTGGTGGGTACAGCCATCCAACCACCAGGGCTCCTTCCACCGGCAGGTCGGATGTTTGAGTTCCTTCCACGTGGTCCAGGAGCCTCGCTGTGCTGACCTCAGGCTCGGTTTGCAGGATACACACAGCTGGTGGGCCCGTACCGGCCAGCGTGGTCACATCAGTCCCTGACT